ATATATATATATACTTTAATACAGTACTACTATATTTAATAAAATCTTTTAAATCAAAAGCTATTAAATGAAAAAATTTGGGTATCCTATTTTTTCCCTATAATTCAAGTTTTCTTTATTTTTTAATTTTAGTCCTTACAAAAAAATTCTTACAAATTAATTTTAACTAGTTCGTTTTTAGTTCACTACAAGAAATGTCACATATAATAACATACAAAAGGTATTATTATAAATGCAATATATGTAAGTATAAATTTATTTGACATATACCTACACATAATTTTAATGTTAATTTTGAATGAGATTTAACTACATATTTTATATATCACTATATATACTCTATATCTATATTTTTTAATAATATATTAACATATTATATATATATATATATAATATAATAAAATATAAATAAAAGTGATGTTTAATAATATATATTGTATCACAATGGAGTATATATATATATATCAATTTTTTTCCAGTGATATTCAACTATTAGTATCTGTTCTTACCGGAAATCTGCCATAGAGGTGATTTGCCAGGTAAGATCGGTGAGCCTCCTTCACTGGTATGTTGGTGCTCCAAGATGGGGGTGCTACCTGCAAAAGAGACTCCGATGTCGCATTCTGATGTCCATATTTCATGGCCGAGCTAAGGGACTCGGCAATGATGAATTTACTGCTTGGTCAGGCTAGTAAACCTTTGATTGAGTCAATAGATTGGTGAAGGACAAGTCGGTAACTTGGCTGGCCAGTACACTTCCCCCCAAGCACCGAGTGATGTAAGAGCGAAGGGGCTTCTGAGGAGCTCCCAGATTTGTTGTTTGAAGGTTCGAGCTCGACCTTGGTTAAGAAAATGTGATCTCAAGGTTTGGACTCGACCGTGGCATATCAAGGTTCGGACTCGACCTTGGTTAAGAAAATGTGATCTCAAGGTTTGGACTCGACCTTGGCATATCAAGGTTCGGATAGTACACTAGCCCCCCGAGCTCCAAAAACCGTAGGTCGGGGAGTTAAGGCCGAGCTTGCTGGGAGGAGGTGACCTCTCGCGTACGTTTGCTCGTTGTGGTGACACGTGTCGCGACTATTCATTTCCCGGAAACGTGCGAGTGGCGTGTCATGGGAAATGACGGTTATACAATGATGAATTTGTGATTAATTGCGTTGTCAGGCGTGCCCTTAGGTTGACACATGGCATGACCGTTTTGAATTTTGGGAGAAAACTTTCTTTTCTCTCATATGCCCCTCTTCGCCTCTCACTTTGCTCACTTTTCGCTTTTTCAGCTTCTTGCGTACGCTGTTCCTCTCGTTTTTCTGCTCATCTTCCGTCTCCGTTTTCTCCGTTTCCGCCGTCGTTTCCGGTAACCCAGTCACTGTTAGGGTTAATTTCTGAGGGAGAGTACCAGGTACTTCCTTTCTACAGTCTTCTTTTTCCTTCTTCCCCAACCTTCTTCAAGTTTTTCTTGTCTTTTTCATGGTTGGGGGAAGTAGTGCCGGTTCTTCTGCGCCTTCTCGGGGCAAGGCGCGTGGTAAGGCGGTGGCTACCGGGAAAGTCGCCGCCGAAAAGAGGGATCCGCCCCGGGGCCCGGAGCCGGGCATTCCTGGCTATGACTGGGTCAAGTGCGAGGTGGGGGGCATCCAAAGTGTCTTTCGGACCTTTCTTGAGGTCAATAGGATCGCCAGGTCGTGCAGGGTTTGCGACCCTTCTATCTCCCGAATGATCCGGCTTGAACCCTGTCAGGCTGGTGAGGGTGTGTACATGGGGAAGTCTACCGATTCTCCCCATTTCTATATGTACTATTGTTTCTTTAGGGATTTAGGCGTCTGTCTTCCTCTCACTCAGTTTGAGTGTGATTTTTTGAACCATGTCAACGCGGCTCCTTGCCAGTTGCACCCCAATAGTTGGGGTTTCTTAAGGGCTTTTCAAGTCCTGTGTACAGTTTTAGGGATAGAGGTATCCCTTCCCGTCTTTCTTCATTTTTATCAGTTGAAGTTAGACGTTCCGCCATATGGCATTCTGTCCTTGAATGGCAGTAGGGATGGGGGTTTGTTTTCCGGGTTGCTCTTGTGAATGTTGACCC